GAGTTGATTATGATGAAATTTTTTCTCCTGTGGTCAGACACACTTCAATCCGAGCAGTACTTGCATTGGTGGCTAGTTGGGATTTGCATTTAAAGCAGATGGATGTGAAAACTGCTTTTTGCATGGTGATTTAGAGGAGCAAATCTACATGTGGTAGCCTGAAGGTTTCACTCAACCTGGAAACGAGCATTTAGTTTGCAGATTGAGGAAATCTTTGTATGGATTGAAGCAGTCTTCGAGACAATGGTACAAACGGTTTGACTCATATATGATCAAGATTGGCTACAAGCGATGTGAATATGATTCTTGTGCCTATGTTAAGAGCCTTGATGATGGTTCTTTTATTTTTCTATTACTGTATGTTGATGATATGTTAATTGCTACGAAGAACATGGATGATGTTATCGGTTTGAAAACTTTATTGAGTCAGGAATTTGATATGGAAGATTTAAGTGCTGCAAAAAAATTCTTGGAATGGAAATTTGCAGGGACAGAGACTCAAGGAAACTATGGCTATCTCAACAGGGTTATTTTGAGATAATGCTAGAAAGGTTTGCGATAAGCAGTGCAAAACCAGTTAGCACTCCATTTGCGAATCACTTTAAGCTCTCATCAGAACAGTGCCCTAAGCCAGATAAGGAAGCTGAAGATATAGAAAATGTTCTGTATTCTAATGTTGTTGGCTGCTTGATGTATGTAATGATATGTACTCATCCTGATTTAGCTCATGTTGTTAGTCAAGTTTGTAAGTACATGTCTAAACCTGGTAAGCAACATTGGGAAGCAGTCAAGTGGATCTTTCGGTACTTAAAGGGTATTGTGGGACATGAAATTATTTTTGGTAGTCAACGGGATAATCCTTTGGTTGTAGGATATGTGGATTCAGACTATGCAGGTGACCTGGATAATAGAAGATCTATGACATGGTATGCCTTTACTCTTGGTGGAGGGCCTATTTGTTGGAAGTCTACTATTCAATCTGTTGTGGCACTATCTACAACTGAAGCTGAATACATGGCAGTGGCTGAAGCTGCAAAAGAAGCTTTATGGCTTACTGGTTTAGTGAAGGAGTGGGGTGTTCAGCAAGGTGGAGTTCAGAGTCTTTGCGACAATCAAAACACTATTCACTTGGCTAAGAATCAGGTATATCGTGCTAGAACTAAGCATATTGATGTAAGGTTTCACAAGATCAGAGAGTTGGTTGCATCTGGAGAGATTTTGTTTCAGCAGGTACATACTGATGAGAATGTCGCTGATATGTTCACCAAGCCAGTTACGCAGACAAGTTCAAGCATTGCTTGGACTTGTTGAATGTTTCGAGTTGTTAAAGAAGTTAGGTAACCCAACCCACATTGAATGTTTCCTAAGGGGCAGGATATTCGCCAAGGTGGAGATTTGTTAGGTATGGCTCATAAATATACTGATAAAGAAGACAGGGGATGGAGCGGAGTGAGCGAAGCGAACATCAACTGTCCATACAAAGAAAGTCTCGTAGTGGGGGTTACAATTATGTGGGTTGGGAGTGGTACGGTACATGGTTATATTTGTAAATTTGTACCAGAGTTTATTTATTATAAATAAAGATGTAACCTACACCTATGAGACATTGAATACAACTTCTAGCGTCGCCTAGGCACGAGGACGTAAGCACATTGCTGAACCTCGTTAAAATTCTTGTTTTCTTTCGTTTTTCTTTACCCGATTCTTCAACAAAACCACCATGCAATTTTGATTAAAACTCAACTGTTTGGCGATGACGATGATGGTCGGAGAATACCGGTGATGGTTGGTAACGAGTTGAAATGAGAAACTTTAGTTTTGTAAAGGGTTTTTTATAATTTCAGTAAAAAATAATTTTTTTATATAAATAAATCAAGCTTTTTTCAGATTTTTTTTCTTTTTTTTAAAAAAAATAATATTTTTATTGTTAAAAAATTAAAAAATATAACGGTAGACAACTAAAAATATAACTAAGAAAATATTAAGCACATATTTTTAGTTAAAAAATTCTTTAGACTCTAAAATGTTTTTTAGGCATACTTTGGGCGCTTATTTTTGTATTAAGCCTTAAAAATGAATATATATAATAGGTTATAAAATATTTTTTATAAATTATTTCAAAAATATTGTTAAATAATATATATATATATATTATCAACACTTGTACAAGTATTCTTACTGTATCAATCGAGATTTATAAAATTTAAATTAGTTGAGACTTATAATTTTTTGATTAATCGAAACTCATTACTCCATATTTTCTAATTATCTTTTTGTAAGTCTGGACTAATTTAAATTTTATAAATCTTGATTAATCCAGTAAAAATACTTTGTATAAGTGTTGATAATATTCCTATATATTACATGTATATATTATGCATAATTTATCTTTTTTTAAAACATTTTTTTTTTGATAATTTATAAGTTATCATTTTATAACCTATGATATCTATTCGATATTTTAATAATTTTTTAAAATGATTTTAGTATTTTTAATATGAATAACTATTTCATCTGCCACATCATCAGTTACTGTGAACTAACACGTTAACACCGTGAATCGTCACGCCATCAATGTGAACTACCATGTCAGTTCTGTAACAGTAAACGACAAAAAATTTTGGTCAAAAGGCTATATTGGGTTTATTTTATGAGTTGGAGGGCCACATTGAAAAAAAATATGAGGATCACATTGATTTTTTTAAAAAAAAAAAGTATAGCTGTATAAGAACATTTAATGCCTTTTTGCCTTTAAATTAAAAACTTCAATATTAGGAGGGATTAAATATGAAATTATCTCTCTAATCAAGGGTTAAAGTGCGTTTCTTCCTTTTGTTTCATGCCTACTTAATGAGTACCAAATCAATACTTGTTAGTGGATTGTGTTATATATATACTTTGCCCAACTGAATTTCTATCTTTTTCTCTAGACCGTGCCATGGAAAAGAATAGGGGCCAAGTTTTATAATTTATTTCTTTTTCTTGTTACTTCCTAATATTTTTATTATTATTTCCCTCTAATTTAAATGTAATATTTTTTATTATTCTGTAATTAAAAATAACACACATATAATAATAAGAATATAAGTACTTTATATATATATATTTAAATAATCTCTAATGTTTATAACGTAATTTCTGTATAAAATATTTTTTAATCATTTGTAATGTATAAACATCTTGTAAAGACAACCATTTAAACCTAAAACATTTTAAAAAAAAAAAATAAGACTCCTAATGGAGGACCAGATTAGTAATTTTATAAAACTTTTGAGAGATAAAGTGAGTGCTTTTTTAAAAGATAAAGAGTAATGGAATTTACACGGTTTGTTAACTTTATCGTTATTTAGATTTACTAATTTAGGTCGGCCGTAAAAAGCTGAAGTAGCTATAAAACCAAGATTTGGGACAAAGATCCTCTCCCCCTAATCGCCTAACTCCCCCAATTACCGGACATGCTTCAATCTACACTGTCATAAAACTCCTTCCAAAAGAAAAAAAACTTTCTCCTCCTCCTTAAATGGCTTCCTCCCAACACTCCCACTCGTTCCACTGTCACTACGCCGAGCTCGAAGACCATCACCTCCGAATCCGTGGCCGAACCCTCTTCATCATCGTCCTCCTCATCCTCATCACCCTTATTGTCGCCCTCGTCTTCATTTACGCCCGATGGGCATGCAGATTCAATCGTAACGCGATGTTCCCTACGTCCCACGCGCTTCCAGATCCTCAGCTGCGAGGGCTCGACCCTGCTGCCATCAATTCCTTGCCGGTAACTATGTTCACGCTCGAGATAGCGGTTCAGACCGAGAGCTGTATCTGCCTTGGAGTGTTGGAAGATGGGGAGAAAGTTAGGTTTTGCCGCCCTGTAACCATTCGTATCATCCCGAGTGTGTTGATCAGTGGCTCAGCAGTGAGTCGAGTTGCCCGCTCTGTAGGGCTTCTCTCCGAGCTGAGTCCGATCAGCTTCAAGTTGTTGTATCTCAATAACAACAGCGAGATTAAATTAGTACTTTTTTGTCCTAATTTGTATTTGTAAATGACGCCGGTCCTTGTTGTAAAGCATCCATTCACACTAATTGTTGTGTGCCTGGTGCTCCAGAATCTGCTCAATGAATTATTTGCTTTTCTTTTAGAAGTAAACGAATATGTTCATTTGTTGAGTGAATAAATAAATAAAATTCATGCTTATTTGCTCTAAACCTTATTTGAATTGTATCTGTTTTTCTATATTGGTATTTATCTTTTCCTTTATTTTGATATCTAAATTATTGTTTTTGTCCATTTATATTTAGCAATCTTATTAATGATTAAATAACAATATGTTATTAATAAATGAAAACTAAAAGGCAAATATAAATTAAAAATGCGATGGATTGTCCGTAAATTGTTGACATTGGACATGAACACAAGTCATAGAAAAGAAGACAATATCATTGTTGGGTAGTTCAAACATCTATTGGACAAGTACATGTCTTATCTTATTATGTATAAATTATAAATTTAATCTATGTATTTTACTTTAAGTATGTTTTATTTGATATCTTTTAAATTTTAATTCTGATAGAAACAATAATTGTTAAATTTATTAAGTCAAATTATATTATTTATTATGTATAAATTTTATTTAGTTTCTGTTCAGTAATTTAATTATTTTAAATCTTATTTATATTATTTATATACTAGTTGTGTAAAAAATATAATTTTAAAAATTAATAAATAAATAAATATATAGAATGGATTCATAAATTAAGCATAATATATTGTCTAATAATATAATTTTATCTAGTAAAATTAATTTAAATTGCATAATTAATTTTGGAAAATAACAAAAATCAATGAAATTGGGTAAAAGAGTATTGGACCTAAGCTAGCTTAACCTAAAATAAATTAGTGGCCCAAGTCATAAGGTCTTAACAATTGCCTAGAAGCCTTTAAGCCTTAGGGTTTTACGCTTTTTTATATAAAGCTGAATGCTAAAATTTTAATTTTACACGCAGCTGTCACTGTAGAAGAACCGAAACCCAGAGATCAGAGTGCGGAAAGAAACCAATTTCGAAGCCTTTCAGCCATGAGAGCTAAGGTAAAAGAAAAAGGACCATTCATTAATTATTTTTATTGAGATTTTGAAAAATGTTCTTGTTTTTGCTTGGGGTCGTTGGCAGTGGAAGAAGAAGCGTATGAGAAGGTTGAAGAGGAAGAGGAGAAAGATGAGGCAAAGATCTAAGTAGTTCTTTTAATTCTTTTCTTCACAACTACTTGTTTGATGGGTGCTTTTTGTTTTAATGGATTAATGGTGTCTTTTTCATTTTCATGGCTTAGTTTTCTTAATTTCTTGTATCTTTGTTCAACCATTTTCATTTTATTGATAAATCTTGAGCTTTTTTTGCTTTAAGATTTGTCCTTTTGATGGCTTTTTTTTTATTGTAAGTTGCAATTGCATGGTAAAATCATTGCAGATGCTCTTAGATCTTTATATGGAATGTTAAACAGTAGACAAAAGTCACATTATTAGTAATTTGGGGAGGAAAATAATTTTTTTGACAAAAATAAGTACCAATACAAAAAAACTGGCATAGTTTAAGTATCGGTTTGTAATTAAACCAAACAATAAATAGGGATGTGGGACTTTATGCAATTATAATTCATACAAAAATGTACTCAATGCTTTATGTACAATTAAAACCAACATTGAATATACAAACTAATCAACACAAGAACAAATCATCAAAATGAAAAGAGCAAAACTTGCGTTGATTTTATCTGCGAATGGAGTGTAGGTTATATATAACCCGAAATTTTCGTCTTGAATTCAATCCGACTCAACATAAATATATATTTTTATTTAACAAAATAAGAATCTAATTGAAAACGCAAATTGTAAACATATTATATCAATTCTCCTTAAATATATAGAAAAATATATATTATTATCCTGGATCAGACTTGATCGAAAATTTTTCATCCTATGTTCGACCCAATATTACCCTTTACAGCACCTCACCAACTCGAATCAGTTTTTATTTAAAAAAAAAAACCAACTCTAAAAAATCAGATCGAATTGAAAACCTCGGGTTGAAGACAAATTACCATGGTTGTGTATATGTATAATTTGTTCATTGAGAAAAGTGTGGAGGCAAGAACAACCTTAGTCGTTTGCTTCTGGATGTGGATGCATCCGATGATAAAGCATTAATCCTGTTTACAGCCACATTCAAGGAGTGTTTTAAAGTTGTCATCGAAGCCGAATCCGAAGCACCCTCTTTATCACTGTTATTATCACAAACGATCAAATCGCTTTTGATTCTTCCACCTACACTTGAAATCTCAGCATTAACAATGCTTAGCCTCTGCCCTCTGAGCACTTGGATGAGCTCCGCAAACACTTCCGGCCGATCATCGCAACAAACCGACACCCTCATTAACATCTTGTCTTCGGGAATGCCGCAATCGACGGTTACTTCATCGGTTTCGGTCGGTAGAATGAAGACTTTGTTGATTTCGGCTGCTTTTCGCTTTAGATCCTTCACTTGCTCTATTGCACTTCCTAATAACGCTGCCTTGTCCATCTGCATATTAAAAGAAGATCAAGCTATGCTTTTAGTCCCTCTACTATGCTCAAAATTGATATTTAATTTGGCCTCTCTATTTTTATAATTTCATTTGTTAGTCCGAATAGTTAACAAACAATAACGTGTAGTAGTCCAATAACAGTATTAATTATTTGGATTAACTAACGATATTGTAAAGGTAAAAAAAATCAAACTAAATAGAGGCTAAATTACAAAGTTGAGCATAGCATAGGGACCAAAAACAAAATTTGAACAATAACAAAGAATTCATCTAAATATCAGTTTCCAGCATTGCAAATAGCCAAAACTTTCTGCAAATCGTACCTTGTTAGACTTGGGGATCAGTTTCCTCAGAGCTGCAAGCTGTGCATTAATCCGATCCCTCCGCCGCTTCTCGGCTTCGCTATGGCTCTTGGAAACGGTCGTAGCATCGGGCGTCGCCGACGAAGGGAAACCGTGGCACTGGGCCGAGCTTGAAGCCGAGAAAGGAGGCTCAATCGGCCATGGAACTATGAAAGAAGAAGATTCAATTGGAAAGGTTTGGTAACAATTCTCCATATTTGCAACAACGTGGAGATGTGGGTTGGTTTTTATTAGGCATATCTATGATTGAGGCACTGTTGATTGAGCTAATAATGGTTGTGATGCTCATATTCAAGATGGAGATTGGTGTGATCCCTTCTTTCAATTTTTTATCGGTCAAACCAAAATCATGTGTTGGCCATTTTCGGCTGTCATTTCGACAACGATTTCAACTTTTCTTTTAATTTTTAATCTTTTACGGCTTCATATGCAGATGGTCCATGGACATGGATGAAAGGAGTCAGTTCTTTATTCACCTAGATCATGATCTAAAATTTAAAGGGTTTTTTTTTTACCTCATTTCGATTAGTTTTGATGTTTATTGTTGTCCCACCTACTTTGAATTCGATTTTTTGAAGAAAGGAGCATGCTCTGGAAAAAGCATCAACTGCAATGCTTGGTGGAAAAAATTGATTGTTGGGAGCTCCCATTCAATCATGATTCAATAGTGATCTAATTGATATATTTTGTAAGAAGTTGGGGGTCGTGGAACATGTCTTGTTTTTGCTTTATGTACCTTATGCTTATCCATGAACCATTTCACCTTTCTCTTTATTTTCTTCATAAGAAAGATAAAGATGTCACTGAACCTCACAATGAAGTTCAATTTGTATAATTTTTGTGTTACTGTTATTATTTGTATCTAAAATTTCACTTTATATTTGTAATTTATTTTATTAGATAAGATTACAAGAGTTTAAATTTTTTATCTCGGATATAATTGAAGTATCTCCAGATAAGGCTGGATCGAAAAATTCTAAGTTATCTCCTATATAATTCATCAAGAGTTTATCTCGAAGATGGAAGAGTTTGGTTTTTTTTTTTTTTGTCGTCTCTCATTTGATTCTCTCTATGTTTTAATCATAATCTCATGGAGCCCTCACAAAAGAAAAGAAAGGGGGCTTAAATGAGCATCACCAATTAGCCAAAATGTAGGGTCCTGAAACTTCAATTCATTGGGTTTGATATGAAATATCATTCATTGGATATTAGGTTCACTACAAATGTTAATATTTGTACATCCATCCTTGAATATAATGTTAGAATCTTAAAGAAAAAGTGTCTCTGAGTACAATGTTAATATTTAGAGATAAAAGATTGATATTAGGTTTCTTTCTCGAGAGTGGTTGACTGGTGATGAATTTTTTTAGTTCAACGATGAAAAAGAATCCTAAAATATATGTATGTGTCAAGAAAAAACAAAGCAACAGCCAAGCTTTTCGGATTTGGGAGATAACATGTCTATGACTAAAACAAGGTGAGCATTCGAGCAAAGCAAAGTATTGTGCTTTCTTCTTCTACCTCTTGCCTCACACAATCACTACTCTTTCCATGGTTTCTTCTTCTTCTGAATTGAAGTATCAAGTTTTCTCGAGCTTCAGAGGTGAAGACACGCGCCTTAACTTCACCGGCCATCTACTCCAAGCTTTGAAAGACACCGGAATGAATGTCTTCTTCGATGAAGAAAAACTGGAGAAAGGGGTGCAACTTTCACTAGCACTTTCCCAAGCAATTGCAGCCTCCAATCTCTCGATAGTCGTTTTGTCTGCCAACTACGCTTCTTCGAAATTATGCTTAGCCGCTCTCTCTGACATCATGGGGCGCAAGGGCTCTCAACAGCATACTGTTCTTCCCATCTTTTACCATGTTGACCCTTCCGATGTATCGGTGGAAGTTTCAGAACATCCTTTGAAGAGCATGAATCAAATAGGCTACTCGATGAAGTCGAGCGATGGAAAGCTGCATTTATTGACATCGGTAAATTAAAAGGGTGGCACATAGACGGAGGCAAATGCGAAGGTAACTATAAAAATATACACTCTCATCTTCTTATAATTTGATTTGTTTTTCTTTTTTATTATCACTTTTTTCTAAAATTATTTTACAGACCTGATACCGAATACATTAAAGATGTCGTTCAATACAATATGTTATAGAAAAGTTAAATAAGTCTAGAAGTGTTTGCGAAGAATTGGTTGGCATAGATGATCAGAAAAAAATGATTTTGAAACTGATCAAACAAGGAGATAATCGAGTAATAGGACTTTGGGGAATGGGTGATAGAGGCAAAACAACCCTTGCTGAAGCTGTGTATAATGAAATCTCTCATATGCTTCAAGGTTGTTATTTCCTTCAAAATGTTAAAGAGAAACAAGGGAAAGAATCTTTACGAAATGAGCTTCTTTCAAAACTATTGAACTCGGAAACTTGTGTAGACACCCCCCCCTCAACAACATAAAATCAATTCTTGTCCTTGACAATGTTAATGAATCGGACCAAATAGATTTCATGGGTGTTAAATATTTTGGCGAAGTAAAATTATTGTAACATCTAGAGATAGACAAGTGCTTAAGAATGGAGGAGCTGACTAAATACACGAGGTAAAGAAGTTAAACAATCATTTGCATTCAAGATGTTGAATCCTACTGTTGATTTTCAAGATCTATCGTACAAGTTTGAGCAGTACGCCCAAGGCAGTCCACTTGCTCTTAAAGTCTTGGGTTCTAATCTAAACTATATAAAAAGTGTAGAAAAGACTGGGAAAGCGAGGTAGATAAACTAAAGGAGTATGCACAGCCAAAGATTTCACAGATTTTGAAGAGTAGCTATGACGGGCTGGATGAGCTAGAGTAGAATATATTTCTTGATATAGCATGCTTCTTTAACTGGGAACACAAGGATACTGTAGAAACAATTCTAAGTGGTTACTATAAAGATGTAGTAAGTGGAATAAACAATTTGGTCGATAAGTGCCTACTTGATATCGGGTATTTTGAAAGTATTTCTATGCATGATATGCTTGAAGAGATCGGAAGAACATTTTTCGCCAAGAATCTGCAGGTATCTACAGCAGAAGAGGTGGACCAAAAGTCTGCAGTCTACAAGAAGAAGACTGTTTGTTTTTTAACGTCTGCAGACTGCTAAAATAAGCTGAAATATAAATAAACTGATTTTTTAAACTTAAAAGAGTTTTGCAATATTGAAATTTAAATAATTTTAGTTTTATAATACTGAAATTTAAATAATCCATACAACTACAATAATAAATTTTTTAAAATAAATCAATCCATATTTTAAAATAAATCAATCCATATTTTAAAATAAAATTTTCCATATTTTAAAATAAATCAATCCTTAGTTTAAAATAAATCAATCCATATTTTAAAATAACATGCAAATCTTGCAGATGAAGCTGCTGATAGTGAATCACTTCCTGATGAGCTAAGGTATCTTTGTTGGCATTTTTATCCCTTCAGATCTTTATCACCGAGTTTTAATCCAAAAAATCATGTTGCGTTGAGATTACCATACGGTCACATGGAACAACTTCGGAATGAAGATAATCAGGTATTTTATATTTTTATACAGCACAAACTAAGTAGATAATGCTATGGAGTAATAGAGTTATTTTATAGTTTCATTATGCAGGATCTTGTTAATTTAAGGACAATTGATATTATTTATTGCAAGAAACTAAGGAAGATCCCTAATCTATAAGGAGCCATCAACCTTAAGGGCCTTGTATGCATAGGGTGTGAAAGTTTGGTTGAACTTCCTTGCCTCGATCATTTGGTATCTCTTAAAGGGTTTAACTTTTGGGGATGTCATAAACTCAACAAATTCCCTGAGCTACCAAATGTCATTTCTGAGCTGGATTTATCAGACATGGGAATAGAAGAGTTGTCTGATTCGATCGAGCATCACGTCGGACTTAAAAAGTTAGTTGAGGAACTCGAAAGTAAAAAATGTATCGAACAATATTCTAAGTTGGAATCTCTTCGTGAGCTGGATTTTGTAATTGCAAAAGCTTGATTCTTCACTGTGGTTACCAGATGCAAGTCATTGCACATCGTTAGAAAAAGTATCCTTCACTGATCATAATTTATACCGATTCGATTCTTTAAAAGATGGTGATGAACAGGTTTACTTGTTATTTTGTAATTGCAAAAGCTTGAATCAAGATTCAATTAAAAGCATCGAGGCCAATGCGGTACTTCAAATTCAATCCTTAGCACAGAGATGGGCAAGGAGGGAAGAGGGAAGGATAAAGAAGACAGGGAGACGTGGACATGATTACAATAGGATCTTTTGTCGAAATCAATTGTTTTGTTGTTTCCCGGGAAATGAAATTGCAGCACATGAGTTTGAGCATCGAAGTGTTGATTCTTCGTTAACCTTAAAGCTAGCCCCAAATGAGTGTAGTTGAAGCAGATTCTTGGCTTTTACTATCGTCTTGTGGCCGATCTAACCCCTGGAAACCAATGCGTTGTTTTGTTCTGTAATTACCGAGAGCTGCAGGCGGCAGAAAGTTCAGTGGCAGGTGCAGCATTGTTGATAAGAACCCATGCACCTACGACGGTGATCATGTGACGATTCTGTTTAGTGAGAATCTGATTATAATAGACGATGACTATGAGGAGGCGTCATTTGAATTCCACATCAACAATGATTGTATCATGGTAAAGGAATGTGGTGTTCATGTATTTTACGTGGGAATGGAGGCAGAGTTGAGGATACTAAGATTGCAAGCACATCCTAGGAGAAACGCAGCCGAGTCAGCTATTCCCATGCCTTTTGACACTGGCAGTCGCCTTTTTTTTACCCGTTCCGAACCAGCTAGGTGTCCTAGATAGATATCATTTGCCCCCTTTGAGCAGCTAGCAATCTTCTGCTGCTCCATGGTTCTTGAAAGATGCATGTGACCGACACCGAACATGTAATGAACACTTATCAAGTGGCAGATCCAGTAAGGCACGAGTGTGAGTAAATGCATTTTAAAATCCGAATGTGAATAATTGCAGTACTATTTAAAATAGAAAAAGTCATGAGAAAATGTAGCATATTTTATGAATCAAGCGGTCCAAATTTTGGTTCATTTAGATTGATATTATTTCAGGTACTCGGATGATTAATAGATTTGTGACGAGTCACACAAATGAAGACAAGAAAAAGCTTTATGACAATTTTGCTGAATCAACACTTTAAAAAAT